AGATGCCCATGCAACCTCTCTGCATGTACTTTCACTTTGCAATAAACTTTGAGTGTGAGTGTGACTCTGCTGGTGAGCAAAGTAATTGTGGGTTTGAGATGGGATTCTTCCCTTGGGAAATCCAAGGACCCGTGTCTCTGACATCAAAACTACTTAACATATATTTCCTTTTATACTACATTATGAAACTTATCATTTGTTTATCAATTTTTAAAAATTGTTCCAAGAACGCATCAGAAATTCTCAAGACAGATTATCCAAAATTCATTCCTCCCTACACATTTGAATAGCTTGGTAACCTTATATGAAACCTTAGTAAGTTAGAAAGGACACACACCTGACCAACTATAAAAAGAAATAATTTTCTAACTCTATAAAATAAAAGCTTGTTTGCCACAATATGCTCATTTGTAGTACATTGATGATGAACAAATAAGTTTGGTAGAAACCTGGGGTGAGATAGCACTTTAAAAAAAAAAAATTATTTATTTATTTATTTTATTTTTAAATTTTATTTTGTCGATATACAATGAGGTTGATTATTGTGGCCCAATACCGAAACCCCCCTCCCTCCTCCCTCTCCCCCTTCCCACCCAACACTGTCCTTTCTGTTTGCTTGTTGTATCAACTTCAAGGAGTTGTAGTTGTTAAGTCTTCTTCCCTCCTCCAGATTGTGTGTGTGTGTGTGTGTGTGTGTGTGTGTGTGTTTGGATTTATTTATTTATTTTTAGGTCCCACCAATAAGTGAGAACATGTGGTATTTCTCTTTCTGTGCCTGACTTGTTTCACTTAATATAATTCTCTCAAGGTCCATCCATGTTGTTGCAAATGGCAGTATTTCATTCATTTTTATAGCTGAGTAGTATTCCATCATGTAGATATACCACAATTTCTGTATCCACTCCTCTGATGATGGACATTTGGGCTGGTTCCAACTCTTGGCTATTGTAAAGAGTGCTGCAATGAACATTGGGGAACACGTATATCTTCGACTTGATGATTTCCATTCCTCTGGGTATATTCCCAGCAGTGGGATAGCTGGGTCATATGGCAGATCTATCTGCAATTGTTTGAGGAAACTCCATACCATTTTTACACTTTTTAAAACTTTTATCCCAAGCGTTTGACCCCACAGCTCAGCAAGGTAGAACAGGAAAAGATGAACAGTAAAATCAAAAGAGTATAAGACCTAGTTGTTTCCTTCTACCTCTCAAACTTGACAAACATTTCCCAGACTGAGGGATGAACCAATGGGAGAGGACATTTGGACAGGAAGTAAGTACATGTGGCAGGCCACTGTGTTCTGTTCTGGCAAGTTCCCTTCATAGGCACACCTCAGGAGCCTTAGGTGCCTAAATCAATGTCTGTTTCATATCCAGTCTCTAATCTAGTGATGTTAATCTTCTTCTATCTGCCATCTGGAGTGATGGATTAGAAGGAAACACACGAGAAATCTGAAAATCAGGAGGAAAAATACTGCAGGAGTTCAGACAGCAAGGGCCTGAACTGGTGAGATAGCAGTAGGAATTTAAAAAGGGGAGAGATTCGGGCCGGCCCGGTGGCGCACTGCTACAGTGCGCCACTTGGGAGCGTGGCGGCGCTCCCGCCGAGGGTTCGGATCCCACATACAGACCGGCCGCTCACTGGCTGAGTGAGGTGTGGGCGCAACACCGAGGGTTGCGATCCGTTGCCGGTCATGAAAAAAGACAAAAAGGGGGAAAAAATAAAATAAAAATAAAAAGGGGACAGATTCAAAACAATAATTATTTAATAAAGTTGATAAATCTATAGAATATCATTCTTAACTTCTCACTTTCCCTGTGGCCAACATATACACGCTATATTTTACCTGTAAAGTTTAACAATGTACTTTATCTCATTAAGGGCACTGAGATGTCCTGAAGAATAGAAGTTAATCTGAGATGTCCTGGAGAATAGAAGTTAATCAGCTCCTAACCGAGATGGAGTAACAGGGACCAGCTCTGCCCTCCTACTGGAAACAACAACAACAATAAAAAAACAGGGAAAATATATAAAACCAGGTGTTTAAGACACTGGACATTCAGCAAGGAATCACAGTGATCTCTGGGAGATGGAAAACAAAAGAAACCAGCCCTGTGTTAAGCCAAAATTGGATGAGAACAGGTTCGAGATGCTAAAACAACCTCCAAACACAAGAAGTATGAAGTAAACTACAGGAAGGTACCATGCAATTAAATTGCTTAAAGCCAGTGATAAAGAGAAATCCTAAAAATGAAGAGGGATATAAGACACCTTCCCTCCAGAGAAACAAGGATAAAGATGACAGCAATGTAAATAAAGCAAAAGATAGTAGTGTTAACACCCCTAAAGTACTAGAAAGAAAGAAAGAACCTTTAACCTACAATTCTACACCCAGAAAATATATCCTTCAGAAACCAAGGTGAAATAGTTTTTCAAAAATATAAAACCTGGGAAGATTCACCACCAACATACGTTCACTGCAAGGAATGTTAAAGAATGTCTTCCATGAGAAAGGAAAATGGTACCAGACAGAAATCTGGATCTACAAAGGCATAAAGAGCCCTGGAAATGGTAACTAGATGGTAAATATAAAAAAAAGTTTTTATTATTTAAATACATTTAAAAGATACTTGATTTTTTCAACTAAAAATAACAGCAACCTATGGTGTTGTTAATAGCATATGTGAAAGAATAAGGTATGATAATAGCCCAAAAGGTGGGAAGAGAGAAATGAAGTATAATGTTGTTTCTTAAGCGTGTCTAACTATTCTGGGTTCCAATGGGAAGGGCCAGCTTTTTCCTCTTACTGACCGAGGCCCTGGTGACCAGGTGGGTACACACATACCAGGCATTTAAAAAAACTACTTATGACCTAAAGTGTGAACGCAGTGTGACTAGAGGTGGTGCAGGCACACATTACCCTTCTTTGTTCCTTGAAGCAGGAACTTATACAAGAAGCCCTTCAGCTTGTGATATCAAAGGGATATCAAATTTAATCTACAGATTGACAAAAATGAACTAAAATCCCAAACGAAACTTAGGTGGTTTTGTGTGTGAATGTGAATATAAATGTGAGTATGTATGTTTTTAAAACATGATAAGCTGATTAAACAAATATATCTAAGAATAATGAAGGTAGGAGGACATACTGCACCAGTTAGTAAGAATTACTAGAAAGGGAGTTGAAATGCTCTAAGTCAGGAAAGAGGAAGGAAGGTTATTCTGTACTTTCTTCCCCACAGCAAGCAGGGTGCAGTCTTCATGGAAGGAAGCAGGGAAGAGCTGAACAGCAGCAGGTCAGGATCCAGATTTGGGCCTGAGGGCTCACTGGGGCAGACTCAGGGGAAACGCAATGTAATTCAGGAAGTGCTGGGTCTGTCCCATGTGCCAGCACCTGGGCAAACTCAGCTTTCAAAAAACCCTGATGCTAGGACCAAGTGGACCCTAGCAAATGAGGCCCGTAGGCAGTCCCCAAATGGCCTTTAGTTCTCATTTCTCCTTCATCTATTACACCTGGAGTTAGTACACTGGCCCCAGGTTCATCCTTTCCATTGCCTAGAAACATTCTGCAGTAGTGAGAAGAAAAATGAAGTAAGACACACAAGGTCGTCTTAGGCAAGGAGGAGTGCGAACAGTGTGTGCTCTAAAAGAATTCAGACCAGGGTTCAAATTCTGACACTTGTGAGCCATGTGAAGTCAGGAAAATTGCTAAGTTCTACGAGGCTCCAGCTGTTTGTGAAGTGAGCTTGATAAGCCCTGCCTTGCAGGATTCTGGGGATGAATGTAATGTATAAAAGCCCCTGGCACAGTGCCCGGACTTGGTTGCATTTTTGATAAGTGGCAATTATTACTATTATCATTTTGACCCCAGATCCTACAGAAATCTGCTCTGTGATATTTTTTTTTTTTTTTTGTAAACCAAGAGATGTCAGAGAATTTGTATTCTATGATACAGCACACAAATCAGTCAAAATGCTGCTTAGCAAGTGAAACTCAGTTACTTACTATATAACTTCTTGCAGTTATATTATTCACTGTGAGTGTGCGGGAGCATTCCCAAACTGGATGTAACTTAAGGCTCCTAGAATTTGTGTCAAGGGCTTACTCCTTCCATCCTTTCCAACTGTCCTTCCATCCAAACCATGCCTATTTTCATTTATTTCCCTTCCATGAAAAATCTAGCCCTTAAGAGTTTGCCAAATTACACTCAAGACAACCAAACAAAAGGCCCTTTTAATGGAGTGGGATCTGTCTCTTCCAGGCCAGAGTGAACACTGCCAGCAGAGTGCCTTCTGAGCACACCTATGTCAGGTGCTATCACCCCTATTTCTTAGAAACTCCCTGGAGCTGATGTGCATAAAACACATAGTCCGTGCACTGCACTGGGAAAAGGACACTGGGGAAGGATACAGGACACCTTCCATTCCTTCCCTAGGAGATGGGATTCTTTCTGGTTTATCCATGACACCAAAGTAACTACTAAAAGCAGTTCTCCATACTAGGCATTAGTCCAGGACACACCTTTTTGAGGACCGGGCCCCTGCTCACCACTCCCACAGCCTTATCTGACCCTCCAAACAGCCTAACTTAAAATGAACTGATTTTAAGGACTTGCAGTTTCCCGAGGCTCCAAATTCACCCGCCTCAGGGCATCTGCACATGACTGCTGTCAATTGCATCCTCCCAAAGTAATTTGATTTGTCCTTTATGTTTTATAGGGTATATCTCACCATTTTCATTACGTGACAGCTGCTCTTAGACTTTAAAATTCAGTGGGCATAGGTGGGCTGTGTTTATCCCTAGGCTCCCAAAATTAGCACAGAGCTTTTCAAAGAGCAGATGTCCAAGTAATGTGTAAGAAATAAATAATGAGACAATGTGCAAGAAGTCTAATTTATTACAATGTATATGTACTTTCTCCTACATTTTGAATAAGCTAATCATATACAAATGTATATCCTCTACTTTTACAGAACAGACTACAAATGACAAGGAAATACAAGTATTAATAATCTTTTACTTTTTTCTGTTTTTTTGACCCCAACTATTTTCCTGCTGTGTCTTTTCACATTTCCAAGGAAATGCCTAATCCACCACGCTATCTTGTTTGAGATCACTAAATAAGATAGAAAACTTCACAATTGTTTCTATAAAATAGTAAAACTCTTATTCTTAATACTCATACACATCAATAAATGTATGACTTATTATCACTTATAAATGTGGACTCTGAAGCTACTTAAACTTTCTATTAAGAGGAACATTTAAACCAATATCCAAGTTACCATATAAGAACAAGAACACACACGTTACACACTGTGTTGTTGCTAGTTTGCCACCCTCACCCGAACCTCCACCAATGAGAACATTAGCTGTCCTCTTCAACAACACAGTCAAGAATTTTCCTCAGCCTTCACTTGGGGCAGGAAGGCTTCTGGAAGCGGCCCTATAACAAGCGATGGCCATGACAGCAGCACGAAGCCTAGCTGCAAATCTGGCTCGGGCTCGCTCCTCTTCATCTCTCAGAGCCTCTTCATACAAGCGTGGGTAGGCACTAGGGACAGTCCGATTGAGTGTGCAAAAAAACTTGAGAACTTTCATCTTGCTGGTTTCAGCGTAGGCTCTTGGACCCCACAGGAATTCAAAGCTTGGAGGATCACTGTTGCGCACCTGACGATATTCCAGGTACTTTTCTTTTACCAAATCTGTGGTGAGAAGCTTCCTGGGTTCCCCAAAGATGAAATGCTTCTTCCCACAGTATACTCCCATCAGATTTAGCAATTTCCAGATGTGCTCCTCAGTGGCACGATTGCCGTTCGAGAAGATGAGAGCCAGAACAGTCATCAGCAGGCCAGTCTTGGGCAAGCCTCTCTTGTCATTCACTCTTGCATCACAGCTTAGATCCAGTTTGTTGACGAGGACATAGAGATTCCTGTTGGGATCGACTTCTTTCATGTCAAGGCCAAAGATCAGCTCCAGGTGCCGAGAGGTTCTCCTCAGGATCTCAGGGAAGCGGTTCTTATCTGTTTTGATCACATTTCTCAGCATATCTGCCTTTGTAACAGGCTCTTTCTTTTGATACTTGCTCAGCAGGTAACGCATCAGCATCGTAGACTTCTTTTCTACAGGGCCTCTTTGCCTGTGCCCAGTGGAAGCCTGGGCCTGTGGGGTATTTGGCTTTTCCTCAACTCGGCTGGTGGCGCCTGCATGAGACCTTGTGGAGGAAGCAGCTGCTGCAGCAGCAGTGCCGGATGGGGCTTTCCCTGGCTTTTGCTGATCGCTGGTTGTTCCAGAAGCAGATGACCTCTGGGGATTTTCTTTGAAATGACGAGAAGAGGAAGAGACAGACTTTTCTTTCTCTGCTACAGTGGCTGGAGCACCCTTCACACCCTTGTGTTCTTCTCGAGCCTGGCGGCGTTTCTCACGGGCACGGAGCTTACTCTTCTGACCCCGAGGCATGATGACTGCGGTCAGAGACAGCAGGCACGAGTGTGGGACAGAGGGCAGATGATTCAGTGACCTGTAGGGAAGAGGATGAGATGGTGTGATCCTCCTCAGCAGGGCAACACCACCTTGGCTTTATCAAAGGCGGCCTCTTACAGGTTTCTTGGAGGGCACTGCTCAAGGAACCCACAAACCTCCGTTTCACTGATGAGCCTTTCCCCTGAGGACCCTGTGGACGTAACTAGAGTGTATGTTAGGCTGCAGCCCTCCCGTGGTGCCTGCGTCTTACTGCGGCTGACAGAGTCTGGCCCTTTACCTTCCCACATACCCTGTGGAGCTTCCTCTGTTGTGCGGTAGGAAATGTTTCTCTCAATTCACACTCAGGGTCATCACCTTAACTTCTGGTGTGACCTGTGATCTCTCTGTTTAAGTGCTTTGAGGCTGACTCCCTCATTCCAGAGCCCTCAGCTCCCTGATGCCCTGGACGAGGAATTGAGGGTGAATCTCATCTGACCACATCTGCCCAAGGACACCCTGGGATGGCAGCAATGGCAGAGCTCTGTGAGATCCTTTCTATCCTGGGTTAATTAGAGTTCTTGGTCCTCACTCAGAATCCTCACATTTTCTTCTTGTAGGGCCTGATTCCCCTCCCTCTGCTGGCCTGAGGCTTATTCCCTCAAAGCAAGGCCTTCACATCCCTGAGCCTCCTGAAGAGGATATTAGGGAGGTCTCAGACTTATCTTCTTCAGGGACCCCATCAGGAGTGACACAGTATGTAAGGCTCTGTGAAACCCCCTCTGTTCTCCTCAGCGTTATGGTTTCTCATCATGACTCCTCACCTTGACAGCCTTGTACCTTCCCCTCTACAGCCCTGAGGCCTACACCAATCAGACCAAGGCCCTCATACACCTGATATCCCAGAGTATGCCGTGGGGGGGAGGGGGGAAGGAGAGTGGGGGCGGGGTGAGCACTCAGAAGGACACATCCACCCAGGGTTTCCCAAGGCTAAACACAGAAGTAGAGCCTGCCTCCCTCAGTCCACACTTTGATTTGCCGAAGGGCCTGAGTCACCTCCTCTTAATGACCTGCTACTGCCATGTCAGACCAAGGCCCTCCTCCCCCTGTGGTCACTAAGAATAAAGTGAGGATACCTTAGCCTCACAGTTCTGTAGAAGAGCTACCAGGGCTCACTGTAGTGGTGGCACCCTGGGGGGATCCCTTTGTCCTAGGAGAGAAAGTCCCCTCACTCCTTGCTCAAGGTTCTGAACTTAACTCTCAGGCTCACTGAAGAGGACTCCCTCTGCTGCCTGAGTCATCTAGCCTTACACCAAGGCTCTTATGCATCCTCCCCCACCCCTGCGAGAAGGTAAAAAGAGGGATCACCTGCAGCCTTACAGCCATGCCAGGGGCCTCCTGGACTGACAGCAGGGGCGGGGCTCTGTAAGGCCTGCACTGTTCTAGGGAGGCCGTTTTTTGCACAATTCAAATAGGTACATTTCATGGAGGCGTGGCAGAGCCTGAGACTCCTTTCTCTGCTGGCCCGAGGCAAAAACCCTGGTGAGACACCTTCATCTCCATAAGCCGCTAAAAGTTGGAAGATGGGTGTGTCATTTCCGCCAGGTGCAGGGCTCTGCAGGGACCTCTCTGTTATGGGGGATGGGGAATTCTACTGAACTCATACAGGGCCCTTCATTGGCTCTTGGCAGGTCTTGGGACCTTCCCTCTGCTGGCTTGATGCCAATACCCAAGTCCAATGCTGTCGCTTCCTTGATTCCCGACAAGGGTAATTCTGAGGGCGCTATCTCGGCCCATCCCTGCCAGGGGCCTTCTGAGGCTGACGGAGGGGCGGGACTGGAGGACCTACTCTCTTTGGGGGTAGGGTGCGTCCTTAAACCTTACTCGACGTCTTCACCTTACCTTTTGGCAGAGCCTGGACGTCTCCCTCTGCTGACTAGACGCCAAGTGTCTCACGGAAAGGTCTCTTGTCTCACGACAACGTCTCGTGTCCCACAGACTCCAGAGGCGGAAGTCAGTGTGCGCCTCTTCCGGTCACCCCTGCGTGGGGCCTCCCAGGGCTGACTGCAGGGGCGGCACACTAGGTACGGAGCGCAAGGTTCCGCGGTGCCCCCTGTGTTGCTGAGCAGGTGGTTCCGTCAGTCCTGTCCTCAGAGGTAGATCCCTAGTTTGGCTTCTGGCTTCACTGACTGAAGGATCCTTGTGGAAATTCCACCTCCCTATAAGCTCTGGAAAGTTTCTCAACTGAAACCCTTGCACATAGTAAGTTTGCTTCCCAGGCACGACGTGAGGTGGAGAGGCTGCGGCACCAGGGAGGGGCACACAGAACAGGTTCTGAACCATCCGAGAAAGTGCACAGTGACCATGGGGTCCCTTCACTAGACGAATGTAGACATCCGGGAACTTTCTGTTCTGAAAGGTTTAACTTCTACAGAGAAGATGCACATGAGCAGAATTTTGTGAGACCGAGGTCTTTTCACTTTGTCCAGCGTTGCACTGTACTGTGTAGTGAAATTCATTTCATTTTAGACATCATTCATAGTAATAAATATATTATATCCATGTTCTAATATTACTACTTCCTGCATCGAGGCTCTTGGTTTTATGGTAGTGATCTATACACCATCTCTCAGAAGTCACTTATTCATTTGAATAACCCGTGGACTTTTCCTTCTGATTTTCTGAAATGATGATCATATTTTCACCGAAAATTTTCTGTTTCTTCTTAATATTCCTAACTTTCATTTGTTTTTGTATTCTGGTCCTCTGGCTATGTAGTTAGCACACTGTTACGCCTTGTTGTTTACTTTACGGGTAATGCTCCCATCGTTTTACATTTCACGTTTAAGTTTGTTTTCTATAGATTTTAGGAAATGGAAGTTCCTTTATAATGTTAGTTTGCTAAATGTTATTAATCATGCATTTAAGTTGAATTCTTTCAAAAGCATTTTCTCCACCTCAGTACATGATCAAAAGCCTTTTTTTTTTCTAATTTGTTAATGTAATATTTTAGGCAGCTTTTTCCCTTATGTTATATCATCTTTACTTTTCTTACGCGTAGACTTTTTTGTTTTTCCTTCATTTAATTCACTGCTATATGGATCCTGCTCTATTCATTTAGGCTCTTTGCCTCTGTTTGTATGAGCTTGGCTCAAGTGTAATTTTCTTAGCTGAGATTGTTCTCAGCTGGTTCTCTTACTGAAGAGAATTAGCCTGGGAAAATGAATTGACAATTTTCTCATTTTTTTGTATGCTTTGGATGGGCTTCCATAAGTTGGTGGTTAGTTTTTTGGTGATTATTTGGTCTAACTGGCCCCCATCTGCCTGGTCCTGAAACATTTGAGGGTGGCTGGAACTTTAACCACAGTTTCACTTTTTATTGCTCAGTTACAATTTTCTCTTTCTGTTTGGACCAATTAGGCCATTCATATTTTTTCTAAATAATGGCCCATTTTCATTTGCAATTTTACTTTTAATGACAATGCATATATTATTTTCATTATAAAAATTCTCAAACATTTTCGACAGTAGAGAGAATACACCTGGGCTCAGAATCAGCAGTTATCAATACATGGCCAATCTGGTTCTATCTATGCTTGTACTTAACACCATCTCTGCCACTGGAATAATGTGAAACAATCCCAGACATCATACCATTTCATCTTCAATATTTTAGTATCTGTTTCTAAGAGAAATATGCATAAACCAACTATGCTTATCCTACTTTAAAAAATTAACTCCTTCATATAATCAAATGTCCAGTTACATTTCACATTTATCTGACTGACATATATGTATAAAAATATTTTTTTAAACCAGGTTCCAAATAAAATCTAATCATGGCCATTGCTTTTTATGTCCATTAATTTATAGGTTCTTACCCCCGCCCCCAACACACATACATACATTCCATCTTTTTGCTTGTAATTATTTGTTAAACAAAGCCAAAAAAAGAAAACAGGCCTTATGTTCCATCCAGTTTCACGTGGCCTGGATTTTGCCCATCATTGCCTTTTTAATGAGTTTCTAGGTATGAGAACAAGAATAATAGAAAAGGAAGCACAGACTCCAAACATCCTCAAACATCCTCATGTCTACTTATGTCTGGGTTTTCAGGGTCCACTCCTATTGATTGTTGCTGACACTATGTCTGAAGGACTTTTAACAGTATTCATAGTCTACTGAGCTAGAAAAGTTTCTTAAAGGATCAAAGATATACTTTAATTCTGTCTTCCAAGATTCCCATGAAGACATCAAGCGCAACTGCATAAAAAATGATAGACAAACTATACAAATTCTTTAGGCTAGTTCTTGTTCTTTGGTGATAGAAACAACCTGTTTTGTTGCCCAGAACTCTAACCGCACCAGCATCAGTATTCTAATCAACACTGGGGCCAGCAAATCAATTCCGATGCTGCTTAAAAACAGGGAGAAGATCTTCCCTGTTCTAGCAAGCATTATAGTACCATAGATAGCTATGACATAGAATTAATAATATTAATCAGGTGTCTAAATGTATGCAGAACTCAATGATGATATTTGCAGTATTACACAGGGATATAAAACTGCATATCTTCCCTCCCCGCAGGAGTACATATTTGAAATTGGGCAGTACCTAAAATTGAAAAGAAGAAAAATACATAGGGGCTGGGTAGCACAAGAGACTATGAGAAAGGTCATGCAGATTTTTAGTAGTTAGTACCTTTGTTTTTACTCTATGGTCTTGAATATAATCCTATGGAAAAGTTGCTTTCAACTCATTTGGAATTATATAAGATAATCAGCACAAATTATGAGTAGGATAAATTTGTTTCTTACCTTTCTTAATTATTCATGCTACTTAAACACAGAAGAAAGAAAAAAAAATTCATATAAGTAATTTTGCCAAGAAGCTTAGAGTGATGTGGCTTAAATGTTTACATATATTCCTCATATAAATTTTATATTTATATATAACATTAATATTATATAATAATATGCTGTAAATTATATTTATATACATTATAGGTATAATATTTTTACAGTTCTGATATTTATTTAAAGTAAAAAATGAACATAAATAAGTAAAAATAATAAATGTAACAATATAAGAGCTTCCAGTCAAGATGGCAGAAGAGATGGTCCACAGCATCACTCTCTCTCACAAATCAACCAATTTACAGCTATTAAAAAGCAACGACAGCCTAGCTTAGACCCCTAGAGCTCAGGGGAAGAGGAGGAGACATCTATAGAGTTCATGAATGTGGGAGAAGTCACAATGAGAGAAAGAATTGTTCCCACCTTTTTGAATCCCGGCTGCTTCAAGGCTGGCCCTGGTGAGTGCACAGAGCAAGAGCTGGCAAAAGCCACTGCTGTGCCCTTCATATGAAGTTGTGTGGAGATGGCAGGGGTGAAGAGGGTCTTGTTGGTCCTCAGGGCAGCAAGACCACTAACAGGATTCCTGTGGACCCGCATAGGAGCAAGGGGCCACAGACAACGGAAATAAGGAGTCACTCGAAGGCTGGTGAGTCATTGCAAAGGATGGGTGCATGGCCTGTCCAATGGGAAAGGACAGTGGGGGAGATGGGCCCACTAGGAGAACACTGGGGCACAGTGTGGATAGCTGACCTGCCTCCCAGTCAGCGCAGGACCACTCTGTGTAGACTGGTCAAGAATATAGAACTGCAGGGGGAGCAGCTTGCTGAAAAGACAGGTTCAGAGTAGAGTTTCTACACAACCCAGGTATACCAGATCTCACGAGATCTGGAAGTACCTACAAAGTCAATCATTAAAACCTGAGCTGTACAGAAAACCTTCCCCAGGAAATCAGCAACAAAGCAGCAATTTAGCTCGAGCAATGGGCTCAAGTGCTGGTCCCCACAGGAAGTCCCCCCATTTTAGAAGTAAGCAAAGGGCAACAAATTGGTTCAAGTGCAGAGCTGAAGGAGTGGAAACAGCAAATAATCCAACACAGAACTGAAAGAAAAACAAAATACCCACACACCAGAGACAAAGTTTGATATTAACTAGTAAAGGTCTCACTTAACCAGGTAACCTATAAAACTGAGGAGGACCAGAAGCCCTCTGGGCCCCAAAACCAGGGAGTGGGGAGGGCCAGGGGCCTCAGCCATGGCCCCCAACACCCAAAACCAGCCCAGCTACTACTACCAAGCAGCCACAGGAAACACTCAGGGCTCCTGAGCAGGGGCAGTGGGGGGCCAAGGGCTTTGGCCACACCCCCTGACAATCTGCATTCAGCCCAGCAATGACCAAGCCACCATGGAAGCTCCCTAGTCTCCCCTGCAGGAATGAGGGGGGTGCCATGGGCATCAACCATGCCCTCCCCTTCCTCCTTTTCCCACCCTGTTTCTTTCCCCCTTCCCAACTCCTCCTTCCACTCAACTGCTCCACAACAACATCTTAGAATGTACAAACAGATGGAGCCAGGGAGTGGGAAAGACTAAAATGATCCCTGTGGTGTTAAACTGGAATCTGAGGTATCCATGTAAACTCATTATACCTACATATACATACACACACAAACACAGACAAACAAACACAGATACAAAAATAGATATGTGTGAATACATGGGCTAATACGCAAACATTTCCTAGTACTGTCTATTGAGAGGGTCTGGAAACAATGACACCCTAGTAGTAATTAGCATACCTAGTGCCAGACCTTGGTTTCTAAGCACCATTTCTCTATTAAAGGAACCAGGGATCCTTGGAGAAGTGGTTCATTCCAGGGCAGGGGTAGGAAAAATCAAGAGGAGCTTGGAGCATCTTATGGACCAGAAAAATGAAAGTTCTCAAGAAATATGGGGGGGTTTTTTTTGAAAGAACACTTGAAAAAGTTCCTAATGGCCAAATCTTTGAGCAACAAAATATATAATGACAGTATTGAAGTATAATGCAAGGAATAAAATAAGTATTCATGAGCTTATGACAATATAAATAA